ATAGCATTCACGAAGGAGAAGAAGGAGCGGACTTCTATGCAGATGACAATCTTCTCAGGGTCATTGTCAGATAACAATTCCTTCACAAGGACATGAATCCGAGAAGAAAGCCCTACACAAAAAGAAGAATCCGTCAAAAGCCTTGATGAGGGAATAAATAACATTTCTCAGTAGCTCAATTTATACCTTCTGCCCCTTGAGTCACTGGGGGTAGTGGAGGTGTAACAGCTGTGGGTGTATCAACTGGTGTAGTTGGTCTCACAGCCGGCTTAACAGGATCAGTCTCAACAAAATCTCCTGTCAACTACAAAACAGAATTCTCAGATGCATCACGTTATAGCTGCATTAGTCAAAAATGGGCTAGTCCTATAATTAACTTGAGAAGAGCCGCGTACCTTCAGAAGAACCATCCTCGGGATTCTTAGGGGGCGTAGACTCAGGAAATATATCTCCAGGCAACTGGTCATCAATCTGAGGAGAGCCATACATGAAGTGGAGCATAGGAGTGTCCACAAGCAAGCCTTCCTCGTCAAAATCATCAGTAGAGAAATCTGACACAAGAGAATATAAGTACGAAAGAAGAATAAAGAGACTACAACCGATAGAAATGAGTTACCTCTTATAGGTGCGTCAGCCTCTTTATTCTCAAGATCCACGTTTGCCTCCTGCAAGTTATCTAAAAGAGCGAGAAGCACAGAGACAATTAGGGAATGCACAAATTCTAAATCATTCAACTCCTTTGTGTGCCATCTAAAAGATATATTGTCAATGATAGATGTACCTGGATTCACTGAATCGGGTCCTACATTGATATCCTCCCTAACGTCGGCAGCTTTTGCAGGCCTTTCTACCTGGTGCGGTGAGTTAGGCTCACCAGAAGATACATAATCAAGAGGAACAGGATCAGGACTCATCTCGCTCTCCCCACGCTCTCCTATATAGAGAGGGAAAAGCATGAGTCGAAGTTCTGAATAATCAAGAGGATGGTTTACAGGGTAGATGTTACCTCCGTCACTAGCAGGATCGTCACCAGCCAAGTCCATATCAGATGCTCGCGAAGCTACACGCGGCTTGCGGGCTAATCTCTTCCGCCTAGCAGCAGGGACAGCAATCGAAGGTCTCACCTGGGAAGAAGGATGGAACTCTTCATCCTGGTCAGCTGTGGTCCCTAAAACATCAAACCATTATCAGGTTTAATAATTCTGGAAGACAGAAGAAAAAAAATGGGTGGTTAACCTCGCTCGGAACAGTCCTCGTAATCTTCAGGATCTCCGCCTGAAGCCTCGTCTGCAGAATGGAAGACCTTCTTTCCCTCTTCATCAATCCGACGAGTCTTGTTCCGTGTCCTTTGTGATCGAGCGTTTTCCCAAATCATACGAGAATCAACCTGAGAAGCTTCCTCGGCCTCTAGCTCTGCAATCGGCTTCACAGGGACAGTTTTATTAGCTGCTAACAACCACTTGCAGCTTAAGAAGGTGAGGTTCAACTGCCGCTCAGCACTCGGGAGACTGAACTTAGCACCAGTACAGCCCGTCACGGTCCACAACCATGCCCGGAGACCGTCCACCAAACCCCCGTGGGTCCGAAGCTGCTGTCGTGGATTCCCGACATAAAGCTGATCATAGCCAAACTGGCGAGCGAATCGGCAGGGTAGGTATGGCTCTATGAAACACTGATTCCTCACCCGGAAAGTCAGATAACCTGGCCTAATGTTCACCAGCCAGTTAAAGCAGCCGATGTCTAAATGAGTTCGATACTCCCTCGGCCTCTCCTCATCAATCAAACACTCGCCGTATCGGCCGGAGAACTGCGGGAAGCAAGTGGAAAACACCCAACACTTGTGGACCTGTAGCTTCTGTCTGATGTCAGGGAATCCTCGCCCCTCCCACTTGTCATTCTCAAGCAACTGTAGTAGGGGAACGGAGTGGTCTGTGGCGTTCGGTACCGACATCATATCAGAACGATGAAGGACGAACCAAGCCATCAAATAAGTGTACGGAAGCTCCACCTTAATAGTAGGAATCTGAGCCGGCAATTCACTTTCCTTCCGTGTAAAAGCACTAGAAATCTGTCGAAGCCCTCCGATGAATATTAACCACGACACCGAAGGAGCGAAATTCCTTCCGGTAGGCGAGCTGAACCGCTGGGTAGAGGCACTTCTCAAGGGCAAAGCGTCACCGGACTGATTACGGGACCACGGCATTTCTTTAACCAAGATTAAGCGAGAGTAATCGGCAAGAGGGTCATCGGTCGAATCGGTGTGGTCCGCATTGGCCATAAGAATGATTTAAACTTGGGTCCCTGCAGGAAAGCCACTCTCAGGACTACTAATGGTATAGGAATGAGCGTCAATCTTCTTCAGTAGACTATTCACCCCTGAAGGAGTGAGTGGTGCCAGCTCACAAATAGCCTCGCCAGAATTGCTCTCTAGATTTCTGAACAAATAACATGCAAACTGCTTCAGACTCACGTATGACTTAGTCCTCTTCGCTAAAGGCTCAGACTGCGCCAAAGCAATATGATAGTGACATGTGAGGTCCTATAAAGTCTCGTAGCGGTCGGGCATGCGATCCTTCAGCTGACTTAATTCATGGTTGGAGGGAAAGTATTCCTGATATAGCATCTGTCCCATGGGCAAACCAGAAATCCTGTGCATCTCATGGAGAGCCAAACCCAACTCCCCTTGCCGGGTCAGAAAAGCGTTCGAATCTGGATTATAAAGCTCGCACAAAGCGAAGAAATGCTTCGCGCTGACAGGCAAGCCATACATGGTGGCACGAACGGCTGCATATAAACCACAAGCGTGCAACTCCTCGCTCCATCGGCTTAAGACGTACTTCGTCATGCGAGTCCACCAAAGCTTGTCTAAAGAATGGACCCAGCCGAAGAATCTGTGGCGCGTCGCAGGCATCTCCCGTCCTAAGTCAGCGAGGCGATTCTTCAAAATAGGAGCAGAAGCAAGAAATTCGTTACGCGGCGGTGCATCCAGCCCCATTACTCCAGGACTCAATCCAGTGATATGACTCCTGCTCGAACCAGGAGCTGCCTGATGAGTGATATAGCCACAGTGAATGCTCTCATGTTCCTCCGTCAAGCGCCATGACATCTCCCGTGTCACAGCCTGATGCCTGAGCTCAGTCAACGAACGGTGCCGAGGAATCTTCGGCAAATATATGAAACCACTGCCATTTTTATGAAGCCACTGCTCGGAATCAATAAACACTGTATCCGGATCTCTGACAGAGTCGCCAAATAAGAAGTCGGTCTTCTTGAGAGGCTGAATAGAACTGGCATCCTTCACGAAAGGCGCATCTGTAATCAACTGTCGAAGAGCACGATGGCCACCTTCCTTCACCACTTGGGCAACCTCTGTCGACGTGCCCGAAGCAAACTGAGAAGTAAGTGGAATGGGTGAAAAATCATCGGAGGTCGAATAATACTCGCCACGACGCCCGTACACTGCATGAGATGAGAACGCTCCAGAAGGATATCCCACTGGAAATAAACAGTTAAATATTTGTTAGTCCCAATTATAAAAGGAAGTTGAACTCATCCTACGAACGGGTAAGATAGAGTCACTGCCTTATAAAGGGTGAAACGATTTGGCCACATTACGCACTTATAAGGTAGGATATATTAAAAAAACATATTCCTGCCTTATAAGGCACAATGCAGCATCAAGACGCCCCCTTTATTTATTTTGAGATATGATTTTGACCAATCAAAACCCATCTTTAAAGCGTCGATCATCACCAAGGAGAATCAATGCTCTTTCCGATTGCCTCACCAAGGAGAGCAAAATGGGGATAAAGGACTAATTTGCAAATTTCCAAATATGCCAAAAAGGCTCACCAGCGTAAGAGGGAGGCGCGCCATCAGCCGACGCGGTAGAGGATTGACCTCTCGCAATATGAGACATGGCGGCCTGCAAAAAAAATTAAGGGATCAGATCCAGAAAAAAGTTTCTCTTTTTATTGCAATTAAATCTCTCAGAGCTCCAAATTCTACCCCCTGAAAGATGAGCTTGAGGCGCCAAATCATAAACCCTAACCCTCATATGCAATCCCACAAATTCATGTACTAAATTAAACATGAAATATCCAAAAATTAATGTTAACTCTTTTTCTGTAACATGTTAACTTTTTTCTATAACATGTTAACTCTTTTCTATTAACTGTTAACTCTTTTCTGTAACATGTTAACTCTTACAGCTAACATGTTAGCTGTAAGAGTTAACATGTTAGCTGTTAGAGTTAACATGTTAGCGGTAAGAGTTAACATGTTAGCTGTAAGAATTAACATGTTATCTATAAGAGTTAACATGTTACAGAAAAAAGTTAACATTTTACAGAAAGAGTTAACATGTTACAGAAAAGAGTTAACATTTTACAGAAAAGAGTTAAAATCCACTGACATAAGAAAGAGGAGGGTAAATTCGGGATTTAAATCAGCTGATATGTCTAATCATGAGCTGACATGTCTAATCAAGTGCTGAAATGAGCTGGAATCATGATGGAGGGGCTTGGCCATATTTTTTTCAAAAAGGAGGGACTAAAGAACATTAAAAAAAGTAGGAGGGGCTAGAGCATATTGAAAATATAAATTTGGGGCCTAGAAGCAATTTTTCCATATATATATATATATATATATATTCTACTATAGTTCGAGTATATAGTATAGTTTAATATATATATTATCTATATAGTTTTCTAGGCCGAGTACGCTGATATTCGGCCCTTAAAATTTCGGGCATTGAGGCCCTGTATACGTCCGATTCATAATCAACCCAAGCAGCCCAAGCCCAAGCCCAAACTGTCGGAACATTTTTACCTCTCTCCTCTATCCGCGGGTAACCGAGAGCGCTGCTCCCCGATTTCGTTCTCGCCCTCTCATCTCTCCAAGACGCGCTGCTCCGATAGAGAGCGGCGGCAGAAACAATCACTAGCCGCTGACAGGTGTTGTCCGTTTCCGTGGGCTCCGCGCTTAATAGATCTCCGCCGTAGCGCAAAAAAAACTTTCGGTGATGGGCGAGGGAAGAGAAGGAGACTGGGAGTGCTCGGAGTGCCGTAACCGCAACTACGCGTTCAGATCTCTCTGCAACCGATGCAAGCAGCCTCGCCTCCTCGTCGACAAGAAGACCCCCGTCGACTCCAAGTGGCTCCCTCGCATCGGTGACTGGATCTGCGCCGGTGAGCTTACCTCTTCGTTCTTGATTCTGTTGATTTGTCTTAGCTTCGCGTTTGTAGATCTGGTTCCTTTGTCGTGGTTGTAGATAGTCGTGGATCGTTTGGAGTGAGGATTTGGATTGGAGGGGTTTTTATCGGATTCGGTTTCGCGATGATTGTAAATTAGCGGATGGTCTTCTAATCGAGATTGATAGAATTTGGTAGAATTAGCGAGTATGTTGGAGATGTAAAGAGGCGTTAGGGGAACTCACCCTGTCCGTAAAAGCCAGTTGTTAACAGGGAGAAAACTCAAATCTCTTACAAAAATGTGCAACTGACTCCCCGTTTAACCGAGATGGGGCTAAATGGAACAGTTTGCACACTAGTCTAGCTCTGGCTAAACACTGCAGACCCGAGCTAGTCCCCGACAAATATAGCGATTTCAATGTCGATTACCTGCAGTTAAACGGAACTAAATCGACCCTATTCAGCCAGTATGGAACTAAATCGACCCTAACTGTTGTGTGCACAACACTTAAGAATCATGGTTACATGTATTAACATGGAATGCCTATGTGTTAAATCAAATACAAGTACACATTGGATCTTAGAAAAAAAAACATCTATGAATACAAGGAGGATATGAGAAATACGGACAAGATTGAAATACACACAGGCCATGATACAAGAGTTGTTTAAGTAAAACAACATTTATCTAATTGGAATTCAACAATGTATTCTACATTATAAAAAACTAAGGCTAGATCTCTTAATTAAATTTGATAAAAGAGAAGTTCAGAATTACCTCGATTGCTATTCTATAACTTCTACCAAAAGCCTGAAGATCTTTTCTTGCAAGCTTCTTCAAGAAAAAAAGTCTACAACTGAATCCACTTGTCATCTAGAGGAGCAATAAAAGAGAGATAAGATCTCTAAAAATTCAATTTGAGTTTCCTCAAACCTTTTCTTCAAGTCCAAGAAATACTTATAGAGCTTGAGTTTCCTAAAATCTTACTTTGGGCTCAAGTACTACTTAGCTCTTCACTCTATTACTTCATGAACTCATTTGCTTTTCATGTTTATAGACAAAGACAACTTTTTATGTTGTCTTTCTTTTCAATGTGGGACTATTCTCACAAGGGAACGAGTGTCAAACCAAGAAATAAGTGGCTAGCAAATAAGGTTTGTCTCGACAAGCTTAATGGAGTTTTGCATGAAAAACCCTCTTTGAATTCTTAATTTCATATTTCTACAAATATAAATATTTGTATTACATTTTCCCCTCTCAAATGACATTAGTGAGACTGATTGAGTTCTCATATCGAATGCTAATTATTAATCAAATTAATTCTTAGTTAATTTTGATTAACAATTTTAATTTAACAATCATGTTCTTACCCAATCAACTGTTCATAAAAGTTCTACTATAATATGAGAATAAATATTTACAAAATATTATTTTACATTTAGTTCCTTCCAGGATCAATTCATTTTCCTTTAGGCAATTTACATTTCAGCCAGATAAAATGCAATACAAATATTCTATTTGTTGAAATATGAATTTAAGAATTCAAAATGGACCATTTTTCGCACAAAACTCCATTAGCTTTGTTATGACAAACCTCCTTTGCTTGTCACTTGTTCCTCGGCTTGCACTTGTTCTCCTGTGGGAATAGTCCCACATGGGAAAGAAATGCTATATAGAGTGCCTATAAATAGTAGAGATAAATAAAATTATGAAGTGAAAGAGTGAAGAGCTGAGTAGTACGTGAGCCCAAAGAAAGGTTTGAGGAAGCTTATGCTCTATAAGTAGTACCCAGATGATGCGTGGCTTCGCTTGGAAGCTTTTTCACTTAAGGAAGTTTTCAAGAAAAGATCTTGGGATTTTGGTAGAAGTTTTGGAATAGCGATAAAGTAATCTAAACTTCTCTTATATCGACTTTGATTAGTCTAAGATCTGCTAATCTACGACAAAATAATTTTAACTGTATAATAGATACACATGTACTGATAACCGGATACTTATTTAGATATGCTGCTTATATTCATATCCATATTCTGTATCCTATCAAATTAAAAAGATATCAACATCCATTTATATCCTACCGGGTATAGATAATTACTATAGGTATCCGTTCTTATTGGATACAGATGCAGATATATTCGCGGATATATCCATATCATTTTGCATCCAATCCTAATCTAGGAAGAAGTACTTAAGTTGATATTAAGCATACTTCTGTGGGTTTTAATATTGATTTGACCAACACCTGAACTTGATGGAGTTTGAGTTTGAGTGTTGGTAAGAAATTATGGGAAATAAGTACCTGGTCCAAACCTTTGGTTTATGAAAGAATCTCTCTTCACATAGACTTGCTCTATTTGGGTTGTGGGATGTTATATCATATATCTTAGTTTTAAAGGGGAATTACTACTATAATTTTCTTCGATCCGTGATTTTTTTATTGATAGATGTTGATGGTTAATTGGTTATATAAGTTTTCAGCGATATGTATCTAACCCGTACTCCAAAGTCCAAATGCTGCTTCATTTTTTTGTGTTACTATTTTGTTGGTTAGATGAAGTTCTATATCATAATCATCTCCCTTTCCAACAACATGGGGTTTATTATGGAGAACAGGAATACATAAAAGATTAAAGATGTCTGGTTACAACAAAATAGGCATATCTCTCCTCTACAAACTTGTATAATATGTTTGATTTGATTGAATTAAATTTATGCACGGTGCTAAACCCCCCCCCCCCCCCCCCCCACACACACACACACAAAAAGAAAAAACGCAACACAAACTTAGGTTTATAATTATTTTTCCAGAGCCAGGAATGTTCTTCTTCAATATCCATAGAACTTACCGTGCATTTTAGTCATTTCTTTGTTTGGGTATCAGATTATGTTTTAAGTAACTTTCTGCAATGAAAAATAAACTCGACTATCATGCATATTTGCTATGTATCTTTAATTAGGTACAGCCTATATAATGATTTTTTGTCTACTTAATTACCTTTGACATTGTTCCAAATTTAATATTTAGTCATATACTTGCTACATGCAATACTTTTCTTATCTCAAGCTTTATTATTACCATATCACAACCAATTGTGTTATGACAACTGTGAGTATTTTGTTTGTTTTTGGTGTTGAATGGGGTGCTTCCGTGCGTGTGTATGCTGCATTCTCTGTTCTGGATGTGGCATTATTTGAATTTCGGTTACCGCCTCAAATGGATTGATAGGTTGCAGTAACAACAATTATGCATCTAGAGAAGTATGCAAAAAGTGCGGCCAATCAAAGGAGGAAGCAGCAATGCCAACAATTGCAGTATCTGGAGCAGCTTTGCCAACTTATGCAAATTATTTTGCCAGGGTACAGGGCCTTCTTGGCTTAAAGATGAACTATGGGATGACAAACAATTCTGCTGCTCTGCAGTCATTTCCACCAAATTCCAATTGGTCGATTGGTGGGATTGATAAGTATGCCCTTCAGTCATGGTCCTCAGCTGGAAATAGTAGTGGTGCATTTTCATACCCATTTAACAGGAATCAACTACCTGAGGTTCCAGAAGGCTGGCGCAATGGGGACTGGATATGTGATTGTGGGTTTCACAACTATTCATCACGTTCACAGGTAGACACTCAATTCTGTGCCTCAGTTAATTATTTGTTTACTTCAAGGTGAGGCTTATTCTCTTTTCTTTGTTGTTTTAGACTATTGTAAGTTTCACTTAAGAATAGCCTATATGATAGAAGGTATCTTTTGCATTACTATGGAGTTCATATAATGTGCTTTTGGAGTTTATTCGCTCTATAGGAGTAATATAAGGGCTATTTAAGCAAGTTACTACTTCATCTTAGATTATTTGAGGAGCAAAGCCCTCATCTAGTTTTGTTGACAACAAACACTATTGTCTGATAAGATTCAAGTTCGGGTTTTATCAGGTCGGTATTACTAAACAAATCCTCTTTTAGGGATAACTGCTACTCTATTGCAGCTTACCAGTGGCAAGTCTTCACCATAAGCTAAAATTGAACTAGATGAGACATTATTAACAAGGCATTTATTGACAGGCTGAAACTATTGAACTGATTAGAGTCCATTTCTTTTCTCTTTTATCTAGAATAAAACCAAAAATATTCCTTAACTTGAACAAAATCCTCAGCCATGTCATACATTTGACGCCTTGATGTCGCCTCATCACATCTTGGGTTGAAGAAGGTCCAAAGACCTACCCGTTAGCTGATTCTTTCTATTATGATATGATAAAGTCACATCAAGTGGTGGAGAGATAATGGTGACGAAGAATTAAACTATCACTATATATATATACATATACAATATATATACACATACATGTATATGTATACATGTGTATGTATGTACACCTATATATATATACACACACACCTATACATATACACATACATACATGTATGTATATTATGTATATATATATACATATATGTATATATATACATACATGTATGTATATATACAAACATGTATGTATATATATACCTATAATGTATGTGTGTACATACATACATGTACATGTATACGTACATGTATACACATATACAT